TACTTGACGCTGCGCTGCGCCCAAGGGCGCTCACGGGACGCGTAGGGGTGAAGTGGGGTGCTGCAGGGCAGCGGGGCGCAAGAGGCCATAGCAGCTGCTGGGCGCCACGGGGTAAGAGGGCGATCAGTGCTCTTCAGGGAAGGAGGCAAAGTGTGGGGTATCAAGGTCTGATGAGGGTGACAAGATATGTACCTGGTGCATGAAGAGGGGTCGGCTATGGAGTTGACAGTCGTGTACATTGGTCATCGAGATTCGAAGTGAGCCTGTTGTGTGAACACAGTTGTAGGTAGGATAGGCGAGTAGAGTAAGCTGGGCACCAGATAGAGAGGAGTGACTTCGGATACTGTTGGTGTGGCTTATGGGATTGAACATTGGCTCATTACTTCATTGTATTGCTCTATTTGGATGGATTCTCGGTGCATTTGTGCTCTCTGCTTGTACACGACTACTTAGACATCTGTGTGATTTCACAACTTGGTTTTCTGTATATAGTTCGCACTCATATTCCTTGCAAAAACTTATGTTATGCAGAAAAATTAACTGAACAACATTTTCCTCAACGTTACATCCAACCAAAATGTTTACCAAAATTTGAAATATAAATAATATACGCAAAACAAATAATAATAATAATAAACATAGGAAACATGGAAAGAGAATTCAAATCAGTGCGTGGGCGCGCCCGTTTTAAACACCACCATCCTTGACAATGTTTTTTTGGGGGGGGCATAATCAAATGCCCTGAATTTGTTTTTAGATGTGTATCTCATATGATTCAAAACTGTGTACACCTTGAAGTAAAGTGAAAATTTTTCATTTCTTTTTCTGGCTTTGCAAACCAGTGGTCTTGACATCTTGTTATACGCCATATGGAGCTTTATTTCTCAACAACACATAGGTACAACCAAGGTTTTTCCCATCGAGTCAGCTGTGAGCGTCGTTGATTAGCATGGATTGAGTTTCCTGTACGCCGAGTGGCTTGACCAGGGGAATTATGGTTTCGCGTACGTCTTGTTACTTTGCCAAGGAAAACCATGTGCTGAGTTGCTGAAGACGAGTGGTCTTGACGTCTTGTTTCATCTTACGAGGTTAATAGACTTTGGATTGCCGCTTTAGGCAAAAATAAATTGGCGTGTTTCGTTGGTTTCTGTGAAGATGTTAAACTTCTTTGTCACCGTTTCTCTTTCCCGTCCATAGTAGCGCTTCTTCTTCACTATTTTCCTGTTACTTGTCCTTCTTAGGGCATGTCTTAGTTAGAATTTCCGTCTGCCTTTCTCTAAAGAGTTTTCATATGTCTGTGTATTAGGGGTTTTCTACAGGGGAGGAGCTCCACCCAATGAAGTGGGTTAGGAGACCTTGCGTCCCCTGAATCTGCAGCCCTTTGACATTCTATTTCTGCCTTGGAAACTGGGCCCCAATAAAATTACTGTTTCTAGTCAAAAAAAAAAAAAAAAAAAAAAAGCCTTCCAAGTTTTATAGACATGCACATCACATCATAAAGAACTCGTAATAAAAGAAAAACAATTGAGAAAAAAATGACTTTTGGGCCTTAAATTTCTTAAAATAATTTTGGGCGGGGGCCCTAGGCCTTTTGATTCCGAACCAGAACGTACGGAGGTCAGCCCGGGGACCTCCATACATACGGGCTGGTGACCATGTATAAAATTATAAATATTAAATATGTTCATGACTATATATATATTGTATTTATTTAGAATACTATATACCTATGTTTATTGTATATTTTTATATTGTATGTTATGTCATTTATATAGTGGCACTGTTACTATATAGTATACTTTTTGTTATTTAATATTTATATAGTAGCAATGTTAATAAGAATAATAGATATAAAAATAGAATACAGCACAATAATATATAGAATGTATAAACAGAAATAATATATATATCGTCAAATAGAACTGCCTACGGTAAACCGTAGGCAGAGAGGGAGAAGAGGACAACAAACGAGGGGCTGTGACAAACTGTTTCGTCGGAGTTTCACCGACTCATCAGGAGGCTGATACCTGCGTTGAACTATGTACACATACATGTTCTCTCTCTCTCTCTCTCTCTCTCTCTCTCTCTCTCTCTCTCTCTCTCTCTCTCTCTCTCCGATGACAAGGGCGACGACGACGAAGCGATGGCGTGGAAGCGGCTGATGGGTAAAGACGTTCCTGACGGCTTCAGCAATGATCGCGATGTCGACGATGGGGACTTGCTCGTCGACGGCCACGATGGCGATGATGGCGACGATGGTGACCACGAGGTCGACAGCAACGAAGCCGGCGACTCCAGTTGCAGCTGAGGCCAGGGGATGGTTGGGTCGGGGTGGGCAGGAAACCGAGGCCCGTTTGAAGTCGAACAAGTGTTGATTTCCCACCGCTGCCCCCGCCTCAGCAGGCCGCTGCCCCACCCAAATGGCCCCAACAAATACACGTACGCAGCCCTTTTTTTAAGTATGCGGGGATGTGTACGCACGCCCTACGCGCGTCAGCATACATACATGGACGACCCCGATACAGGTATGTGCACCGCAGACGTATACTACCATGCTCTGAATTGGGTATCGTCCAAATCCAGTTGCTTTTTAAACCGCACTCGTAATATAGCAAAGGGGCTCATTCAACACTCCTCGGGCGCGTCAAGTCCCCGAGGAAATGTTCATTCCACCTATCCTCGGGGATGCAGTCGGCAAAAAAAAAGTGAAAACAATCCTTTTGCCCGAGGTCCCTTGGGCGAAAGGAATTCACTTTTCACAGAGAGGAGCGGCCACATGGGTAGAGACACGTTACGACCGAGAATCTGGATCGTGGCGGCACCGTATTGGCCGAAGGCCTCAAACACATTTGATTTTTCTTTTCTTTTCTTTTTTCTTGTCTGACATCATTCGAAGGAAATGTCCTCGGGCGACGTCCGCGAGGACAGGTGGAACAATGGCGGGAATTTCCTTGAAAACCCCGAAGGAAACTTCCTTGGGCCTCGAGGACGCCCCAAGGAGTGTCGAACGAGCCCCAAAGAGGCATAATACCGCGATCTGAAGTGGCTAGTCAACATCCAGAAAAGATGGCAGTTTGCCAGTATCTTACAATTTGATAGATCCAGTTGAGTTTTTTTTTTTTTTTTTTTTTTTTTTTTTTTTTAACAGATCCAGTTGAAATTCCAATCAGACATGACATGGCAAGGTGTCTTCAATTTCATAGATCCAATGGAGGTTTTTTTTTTTTTTTTTTTAACAGATCCAGTTGAAATTTCAATCAGACATGACATGGCAAGGTGTCTTCAATTTGATAGATCCAATTGAGTTTTCAACCACCAGACATGACATGGCAAGGTGCCTTCATCTCAATGTTCATCAAAGACCAACTGGAGTCTCCCTGCCTCAGAGCTGGGGACAAGAGCCCACAGCCGTTGCGAGAAGCTGGTGTTATCAGCTTCCAGTTTCTTATTCATTGGCAGCGGGACGTGCTGGGAACCAGGCCCAGTGTACCTCACGACTCTAGTGCGAAGGCACCTGTATAAAAAAAAACGGCCTCTTACACAGTCGGCGCTTTATCGAAAGATGACCACATTGGTCGGCCCTTCAGCGCTTGTCTATCCAATGAGGTACTTCATCAGCTTGAGAAATTTGTCATGTGACTCGTCGATAGAGAGCGCGAACCGCCGCAGGTTGCGGACAAAAAGGCTCACTGCAAAGATCCGGCGGCACACAACAAAATCGACTGACACAACGTCGACGTTTATCTTGATGGTGATAAACCTCGTTGTCTGAGTGTCTTGGATTCGACATGGGTGGATCCCACGTTAAATCTTTCAACGTGCGTGCTAAAACGGCATTGAACCCACCGGTTTATCGCGATTCACCTTGACCCGTGAAGATTTTTTTCACAGGCAAAAAATGAGGAGGAAAAACTTCCGAAAAAGAACAAAACAAATATAGAGTTGTAGATATTTCTTAGCCCTGCAGCCTCACATTTTTTATTTCATTTTTTATTTTATTTTTTTCTTTAAATATATTCTAAGCACATAAGAAATATAGAAACCAAGAAAGAAAGATTGCAGGAAACAATGACACAAAAATGCCAAAAATGCAAATAAACAAATATACGCCTGTAGATCTTTTTCAATGCAGGGTGTGTTGCCCCACATCCCTGCACACACACACACACACACACACACACACACACACACACACACACACACACACACGTCTACGTGTGTGCGCGTCTGTGTGTGTGTGTGCGTGTGTGTGTGTGGGCGCACACACGCATAAACACACAGACAGGCGCAGTGGGGGGGGGCGGTTGGGGGGAGGTGGGGAAGGGGGGAGATCGGGTCAGGTTTGAGGGGCAGGAGTTTTTTTTTCCCCCCCAAGTTTAATTGCGCAGGGGCCATGCACCAGGTGTCCAGGCCCCCCCACACCCCTTGAGTTAAACAAAAAAAAGTCAGGAGAACCCCATTTTCAACGGGGGTTTGGGGTATTTAAACAGGTTTCAAAGGCCATTAAACTGGACCCCTTTCACCGTGCGCCCTCCCCTTTCATTGAAAAGACACACATAGCTCATTCTCGATGGTGGAGGCATGGGAAAGTTCGCTGCAACAGCGCCTTCCTCGCCTGAAATACACTCCGTGATACCGAATGACAAAAGCACGTGAGAGAGACCCAATGTTTTGTCTCCCTCTCACCGTCAGTGCCGTCACAATCCCCTGCCCGCTCGAGCGAGTGACCACACCCATCAAGCCGGGATACTCGCTCGATTGAGCAAGTGCCATTTTTTTTTAATTTTTTTTTTACCGTCGTAAGACATGGGACACCTCTGCCTAAGAACTAGTTCCATATTGTTTTCAAAAGAGGACAATGTCATTCGGGAGAGGCGAGACAAACGCGCTTGTCCGCAACTGACACTCTCCATTAAATACTGCTATTCTTATCGTCTGCACACTGATTACCTATACCTCCATACAATTCTTCCAAGGGTCGGACCAGCGATACACGCAAGTCCCAAGCTAGAAATTCATTAGGACTTTTCTGTAAGAAGGGGGTGCTCATGTGCACCCTACTTCTTTAATAACCACATCGGCAAAAACAGGGTCCGCATCGTATTTAGCTAAATCACTACTCAATTCTTGAGTTTCGATGTCTCACTTAAAACCATTGGTTGGAGCAAGAAAAGTGAGAAAAAGTTAACGAAAAGAATAATAATAAGTCAAAAATACAAAAAGACTTCCAAGCCAAAAATCCAAATTACCACTTATGGCAAGGGTTGAAGGGGCCAGACGTTCGAAGGAGTTAGGGGTGAGCGACGGGGGACCACCTAATGCTCTGCATGCACATAAAGAACACGAGAAACTGTCCAAGGAGGTTCTCTCTCTCTCTCTCTCTCTCTCTCTCTCTCTCTCTCTCTCTCTCTCTCTCTCTCTCTCTCTCTCTCTCTCTCTCTCTCTCTC